CCCGCCGCCACGGTCCTGCCGGTGTTGGTGATGGCTTGCGACCGCAGCACCGTCCGTCGTTGTTTGGATAAACTCTTACGCTATCGACCTTCGGCTCAACGTTTCCCCATCATCGTCAGTCAGGATTGCGGGCACGCTGAAACGGCTCGCGTCATCGCCTCCTACGGCGACGCCGTGGCTCATATCCGACAACCCGATCTCAGCGATATCCCGGTGCCGGCAGAACACCGCAAATTCCAAGGTTATTATAAAATCGCCCGGCATTATCGTTGGGCGTTGGGACAGGTTTTCCGGACCTTCCGTTACCGCGCCGCCATCGTGGTAGAGGACGATTTGGAAGTCGCTCCGGATTTTTTCGAGTATTTCCAGGCGGCGTTCCCGCTCCTCCTCGCCGATCGCAGCCTCTGGTGCGTCTCCGCTTGGAACGACAACGGGAAGGAGCAAATGGTGGACGTCGGACAAGCCGAATTGCTTTACCGGACTGATTTTTTTCCCGGTCTCGGTTGGTTGCTTTTAGCCGAACTTTGGGATGAACTTGAACCCAAATGGCCGCGAGCTTTTTGGGACGATTGGATGCGTCAACCCGAACAACGCCGGGATCGTTCCTGCATCCGCCCCGAAGTCTCCCGTACGATGACGTTCGGTCGTAAAGGAGTGAGCCACGGGCAATTTTTCGATCAATATTTAAAATTTATCAAACTGAACGACCGTTTCGTGCCTTTTACCCAACTGGATCTTTCTTACCTCAAAAAGGAAGAGTACGAACGTTCTTTCCTCCCCAAGGTTTACGCCGCGCCGGAGGTGAGGGTGGAGGAGCTCCAAGGGAACCGGCGGCGGGAGCTGGGCGCCGTCCGCCTGCAGTACAGCGGCCGCGATTCCTTCAAAGCCTTCGCCAAAGCCCTGGGGCTGATGGACGACCTCAAATCCGGCGTCCCCCGCGCCGGCTATCGCGGCATCGTCAGCTTCGTTTATCGGGGCCGGCGCGTTTATCTCGCGCCTCCTTCGGACTGGACGGGTTACGATCCCAGCTGGAGTTAGCGGGCGCCGTGGCGGGCGCCGCTGGCCCCCGCCTTCTCTTTTTTTTTGGTTTGGGTTTTGGGGTGTTTTCCCCCTTTTTCATTTTTTTTTTTTTGGTTGTTTTTTTTTGTTTTTTTTTTTTGTTTTTTTTTTGGTGTGGCTTTAGCAGGGAGGATTTGGCAGGCGGCAAAGCGCCGCTTCTCCGGCGCCGTGATGGGGGGAGATTCGGGGCGAAGGCGGCTCCGAGCGGAGAAATTATTTTCCAGAATAAAAGGAAAAAAAAAAAAAAAACCTAAAACACCCCAAAAATCAGCTTTTTCTTTTGCTACCGCTCAGCCTGGCTCCGTCAGGTCCTATAGTGCGCTATGGGGCCTTGTCCCTATATTCAGCTCGATGCTCTGGGTGCTACAGGCCATAAACTGACCTATAGGGGTCTATACAGATCTATAGGGATCTATACAGATCTGTGTACAAATATAATACAAATAAATTAGGCAGATCTGTACACAAATCTATATGGGTCTATACAGATCTGTGGGGGTCTGCACAGATCTGTGTGGGTCTCTACAAATCTATAGGGGTCGATAGAGATCTACGGGGGTCTATACTGATCTCTGTGGGTCTATAAAGATCTATACAGATCTGTGTGGGTCTATACAAATCTATATGGGTCTATAAAGGTCTGTGTGGGTCTCTACAGACCCATATGCCCTGGCTATATGGTCTCAGCCCTATATTCCAGGCTCTGTATTGGGCTGTGGGGTTTAGGACATGTATAAGGGTCTGTGCTGTAGTCGCTGTATGTGGCTGTACGCTCCGGGCCCTATATATATGCTATATATATGTGTGTGTGTGTATATAGACTGTACTATATGGGGCCATACGGTCTGGGCTGTAGCCCTATATCCAGCTATAGGCTCTGGGTGCCATATCCAGGCCCCATATCCCGGTCCATACGCTCCCCTCGCTATAGTTACGCCCCATACCACAGCCTGCCTGCTGGTCCATACGTTCTGCCCTATATGTTCCTGGCTTGGAACAGCGGGGGTTTATACCCAGGCCCAGGGGGGCATCATTTCTGCTGCTAAAAAGCCCCTTTTATGTTAAAAAAAAGCCCCTTTTTAGCTGAAATAAAGCCTCGGAGGTGGCTTTTTGGCAGCAAGGGGTTTGGGGGGGAGAAAGGTCCCGCTCGGCTTCGCTTTGGGGGGAAAAGCTGCTTTTCAGAGTAGGGGAAGTTACGAAATGGGTGAAATAGGAATGAAATAATGAAATTTTATGCCAATAAATGGGGATAAGAAGAGGGGAAAAGGGCAGTGTGTGGATGGAACTGGGCAGAGTGGTGACACTGGGAGGGTTTTACGCTCCCCCCACTCCCCAGAGCAGGATTTGGGTTAAATCCGGGTGGGTTTAGGGCTCTTTTTGGAGCTGTTTCCTCAGCCTGAGTGGGACCAGCGTCCTCCCCACCTCCACCACTGCTGCTGGGTACGCCAAATCTCCTCATTTTCACTTAAAAAGGGGGACGTTTTGCCACAAAAAAAGAGGGGTTTGGGTTTTATCGGCATTTTTGCCTCGAGGCAGTGGTGCAGATCCCCTCTTATGAACCAATTCCTCCACAGTTTGTTTTTCCTTTTCCCCAGGGGCACAGTTTGAGGTGGAAAATTCCCCGTTTCCCAGGGCGCCGGCTGCTTCTGGGGGGAAAATGCCCAAACCGGGCCAAAGCTCCCCAAACCCAGGGCATTAAGGGCCCCGACACCCTCCCAGTTTGCGCTGGAGCTGTATCCTGGGGGGAAAATCCACCCAGATTGGTGGCTTTTGGCTACAACGAGCCGGAGATTAAGCCGAAAAGCGCCTTTGGAGCCCCGTTTTTATACCCCCCGCCGATTGTGAACCCGAATCGTTGCCAACCGCCCCCAAAGCCGCCTTTTTCCGCTTAAACCGGGCCCCTCGGAGGAGCAGGGGAGGGTCGAGGGCCCCGCCCCGGCCGGGGACCCGCAGTCCCCGCTCAGGTCCGACCCTTCCAAGCCCGACGCGCCTCGCCGCCTGCGCAGTCCTCCCTCAGGTCCGCTCCCACGCCCAGCACTGCGGGCCGGACTACCAGCCAATGGCAGGCCGCGGCGGGGGGGGAAGCCGCCCAACCAAACGGCGCGGGG